CAAAAAGNCAGCATGGGCAAATTCACTTCTTCTTGAAGTTTAACTTTTGCTCTGACTTTCTTAATTTAAAAGACTCCATCACATACTCCTTGGATGTCTGTAACTTTATCTTCACATGTTTTGCTCTATTAACAGGCTTTTGTAAATCACTTTTGATTGTAGCATTGCAAGCTGTATATTGAGCTAAATGTGGATCATTTTTTATTGATTAGAGCCAAACTTTACTTCATGTTTTATGCCAAAATGTAGATATTTATTATTTATTTAGTTATTTATTTACGCAAATACTTTCACAAAAGAATCTCATTTTCTTCACAAAGTTACAATATTATACAAAGATTTTAAATTTTCTTTGTACGTAAAAATCAGAATGTTAAAACCAAAAGAAGAAGAGTAAAAACCTGTTAGTGTATCATTATTTGCAACAATAAATAACTTGAATAAAGATCCAAATAAAATTATTAGAAATAATTTGGCACTTTTTTCAAATCAAAGTAAACAATTTTAACACATTTGAGACTGACGTCCTATAAGTAAAAGTATTCCCAAAATTAGACATAGCCTACATGCTTATTGACATGACTCACATGCCGAGTCATCAATCTCGAATATATTAATATCGAGATGGTGATAATGATTTTATTAAGTAAAGTATTTATTTATTTATTTTATGTATAAAAAACTGATTCTTACAAAAAAATACAAACAAAGGTTTAGAATTTTTGTAAGTACAATAATACAATATTTAAAACATTTTTTATTCTAAATATTGTTTCTATTTTATATGTAACAAAATTAATAAGTAAAAAAAAGATTAAAGAAATAAATAATGATAACAATCTGTAATACATTCATATTTTAACCAAAATGTAACTTATAATTTTTTCCTTGCTTTATGAGATTTTTTCCGTAACTAGTATGTGGGCACTTATGGCGCGTCAAAACAAACTCCCTCCACCTGGCCCCCTTCACTACTTCTGGCGCCATTGCCCCACTAAGGTGGTTTTCGCCCTCCCTTGGGGGTGATTGGCCACACCCACTGGAGGGGGATAAAAAAGTTACATGATTTATGACCCCATAAATTTTTTAAAAATTTTTTATAATTTTCTAAAAATGTGTATTTGAAATTTTTTTTGTTGAAGAATTTGCGTGGGAAGAAAATTTGAGAATGTTCTCAAGTAAGAATTCTTTATTAAAAAAGTATATATTTATTGAAAAATCCGTTTTCAATAGCGTAGCTGGTACTGGTAATGGCGGCGATCTGATGTTGTTGCCTCGTGCGTTCAAACGTGTATGAGAGCAAGTTGGCGTCGGTTGAGTGAAGAAGTGTAAGGGCNGGGGTGGCATCAGTCCCAAGAAGGATCAATCAGTACCTGGGAACTTATGGCTTCCAATGAGCGAGGTCCAGGGGTAGTTGATGGGAATGATAGAGCCTCCGAGGAAGGACCAATGAGCGTCTGGACATTTATGGCTCCCAATGAGCGTGAAGCAGAGTTGAGGGCGTCTAGGCGAAATAAAAATTGAAATAGAAGCAGGCGTCGCAAGACTGTAACTAGAAAGTCAGGGTTCTGATGTAATATAAAAAATAAATGTACGTGTCCGGATTTTTTCTGAACGATATTTATCTGCGCAAACTTGTACGTGCGGGTTGACACGTGCGTGCCGATCAAAAGAGAAGATAATTTTTTTGAAGACAAAAACGGTTTATGACTCGAAACCGTTAAATCTGCATGTTCATGGAAGGTAACAAGAGCGTGCCGATGTATAGAAGAGAATATAAGTTTTTTTGAAGACAAAAAACGGTTTATGACTCGGGACCGTTAAACTTGCACGTACTTGTTCGCGCGAGAAACTTCGAGAAAATTCTACGAGAGTTTTTGATGGATATTCAATGTAGAATAAAATGTTTATAAAAATGTCCATTTAAAGAATTGTTTATTGTTTTTCACACTCATATGCACTCATGTGTGGGTAGCTACGACACGAGGTAAATGCGACAAAATAAAAACTATGTGTCGTACGCAGATGATATATAGAAATAATTTGTAACTTTTGAAAATAATTGTTAATCTACNGTTTAAACAAAAGGGGTGGTGGTGGTAAAATAAGTTGTTGCTCATGCGCACAAGAGAGTAAAATTGCTATAAATAGAGCGATGTAAATACATTTTGATCATTATTCTGTTGCAAACAGTTGCGGTTGGCGCTTGAAATATTTTTTTACGCGGTAAATATTAAAAGTGTGTAAANTGAAAAATGCAAAGAAATGGCGGTGAATAGTGAAAAAGAGCAAGTTGAATCCAGTTTAAAATTGCGCATGGGAATCATCAAGAAGCAAAATGAGAGGCATGAGATGCTGCTTTCCACCGTGTATGGATTAAATAATTCTCATACAAAGAGAATTCAAGTAGGATTGCTCCCTGATGTAAAAAACGGATTTTTTTATCCTGCTATTAAATTATGCGGAAATGGAACAAATATCATATGGCTCGATACTGACGCGTGGAAAAAAATGCAAGATACCATGCCGTTAATAAGTTTGTACTTGGACGGAGAGAAATATAAAACAAAGCCGATTGTAATAAATANTAATATCACAATTGCATTTACTACGGCATATGGAGCAAAAGCCGTATTAATTTCTCACAAAGAGTCCGGAGGAGAGGAAACATCTAACAGCAAGGCAATGAGAGAAGAAGATTCGGATTGTTCCAGAGCGAAGTAGCGCAAGATTATTTCCGCTTCTGATGTTATGCAAAAACCAACATTTNTTGGTCTGCAAAATATAGCGCAATGTGTTAACGTATATATGGAACACTTGGATGCGTTAGCATCCAGCAATTAGTGAATGTTCCAAGTATTTAATACAAGAAACAGAATTGTTACTTCCGAAAACCTATATAATCGCAGACATAATCAAATTAACAATTAAAGGTAATTACAGCAATATCGAACACATGCTGTACAGACGCAAATTAAAAATTTACCGTTTCTAGATACGTACTTTACCTTGGTAATTCTAGAAATGTGTACATTTTATTTGGATAATATTATTCAATTTTTTCTAGCAAAGCATTAAAAGTAATGTTTTCTCTCTCGATTTGTATACAAAAATATATTTCAATGTGAATAAAAATTAAAATATGGTGTCTTTCTATAAAATATATATATTGTGTTTTATTTTCCCTGCACGAAACCCGTTCTATTCGCACGCACTTTATTTAAAAACAAAAAATTAAAACAAAATTGTTGCGGCATTCTCACGCATAAAAAATAAATGAAAAATTCTTTGATATAAGCTGTTTTTATATCACGCATTCTCCCGCTGCTGCAACGTGTTTCCTCGTACGTGTCTATCTCGAAAAATTTTCGAGAAAGTTTCTCATAGTGCAATTTTAAAGTCAGAAATCAAAGGTCCATATATCGCAAGTCCTTCGGTTGTTTATTGCGAATCAGGGATGTAAATTTCCGTTTTTATGGAAACGGAGCTAATGTGTCTTATCCTGATGACAAAAAATAGTGGAAACTATGTCTGAGTAACAGACGGTCAATGCCAATACGTGACATCTTAGGATCATTTTTTCATCTACGAAAAATTCATGTTAAGGTTGTAAAATCAATGGCAACTTTATGGAAAAGCAAAAACAGATTTTTTCTTACCGCTGGCACAAAAAATAATAAAAACTTTATAGCATTTCCGATTAACAGCCGATTTGTCAGTTTGTGACATCCTAGCTCAACTCTTACTTTGTAATTTTTGGGGGTGAAACAGCGTATAAAAAATCTGTTGCAAAGAGAACGAAACACAGTCTGAGTTCTGAGCAAGAATCAGTCAGTGAAAAATAAGCAGTGAGTATCAGAGTTCTAAGTAAGTTTGTTCAAAAAGTATTTTTGCAGTTTGCAAATATATTTTGTTAAAAATGTCGGCAAAAACAATAGAAGACATTGCAACGCATGTAATGCAATGCACATTTTACATATTTATGTCAATGCATATTCGGAGTGTGTTGCTGCGTATACGGGAAAACGCAGACAATATAGATTTGTTCTATCAAATCGCGCATCGGATATCTAATACGTACCTCGCAACATTGCACGCGCTGAGATATTTTGATGAAAATTCACGATTATTGCACATCGCGTGCGAAGTAGTGGAATTTCGCGCGGCGCTCCAACACGAAGAAAAAGATGTGCAAGGGTTGATCGCACGAATGATACGACAACAGGGGTGAGTAAAAACACAACAGTTTCTATTTTTGTAAGAATATTATTTTCGCGCTTGTAAAACTTATTTTATATTTCGCATTTATTTAATTATCGTTTATTTACTTTAGTGAATAATCGTAACGAGGTAATCGTAACGACGGCAACGAAGAAGCTGCAGCGACGCCACCCCGTTTTGCTTCTTGTCAGCAGCAGGAAGTTGCGAGCGAATCGCCTTGTGTGGAACCTCGGGCGGTAGCCAGTGTGTTGCCAATGCAACGCCCTGTTCCTACGGCCCAACGTCGCCGACGAGAGGGAGCAGAAGAAGCAAAAGAACCTCCGCTGCGTAAGTTTACAAGCAATAAAACAAGAATTACTAACTTTTAGAATAAAGATATATATATTAACTAATGATTTTCACATTTTAGGAAGAGCCCGTAGAGATAAAGCAGAACTTTCTCCTCCTCCTCCTCCCGTTGATTCCGGTAAGTAAACTAACTAAATAGTTAAACATAATGAAAAATATATAAAGAAATTATATATAAACTTATATATATATTACTTTTTCAGATGATGAAGTGCAGATAGTGCTGGAAGTTAGGTATCCGCCAGGGACAGTACCTGACCATTTCCAACAGAAAGAAGCGGAAGAAGAACAGCGTCAATGGGCGGTGGAGGAGCTTCGAAGAAGACGGCTAGAAGCGCAGATAGAAGACGAGCGCTACGAGCGGGAAACAGTCCGTCTCTTGTCGGAGATTGAAAGCAAAATTATTGCCGACAAAAACGACAACAAGAATAATGGCGACGACAACGACGACGATGACGACGACGACGACTAACGACAACGATGATGACGAGGATGCCGACGACGAGAACGACGAAGACGCCGACGATGAGCGCGACGACGACGACGACGACACCGACGATGATAATGGCGATGATAATAGCAATGATAATGGCGACGAAGANGCCGACGATGAGCGCGACGAAGACGCCGACGATGATGAAGATTCCATCGCGAAAGGTTAGACTAGTTGCATGTACATATAATTGTATATAATTGTATACATTTGTGATATATAATTTGATATACTGAACAAGAAATAAAAGAACCAAATAGCGATATAAATTAGGTAGACGCTTCATTTACAGTTAATTGAATAAATATACGTTTAATATATATACTCGTTGTCCTATTTATTTAATTTCCCTACATAAACATAAAATTACGCTAAAAAATATCACATAAAAATAAATTTTTGAAATTAATATAGAGCATAATTAAGTTTCATTAATATTGTGCACGTCCAAACGCGTTTTTCTTATGTTACGCGGTAGAAATTGACGCGATAAGAAAAGTCACACACTCAGTATATTTTTCATTAAATTTGACTTAAATTTTTTATTTCTATAACAATATTTAATTCTATATCAATATATTTACAACACCTTATATACAACACGTATATATATGCATTTAATCAAATGTAATTGAAGCGTCTGTCTAATGTATCAATAATTGGTTCGTTTACCGTCGTTTGATAATCGCTTGTTAATATATTGAGAATTTTTGTATTAAGCTTTTGAATTTATAGTACAATACGGGAGCGGAACTGTAAATATTGCGCAAGGAAATAGTAGTAAACAGGACGGCACCAACAACGAGCGCAGCGACGTCGACGACACCGTCGAGCGTTACACTGGCAGCAGCAGTGCTACTCCCGCTACCCCCGACAGTGCTGCCGATGACAAGAAAAGCAAACAGATTGGTGAGAATAATAATAATTATACATTTATCGTATTACAGACGGAAAACGCGCGTAGATTTAAGAAATTCAGGGTAATAGGGAGAGAGGCGACATTTGAGATCCGCGAAATTCAGCCTGGTGCTGAAATAATAGAATGGGTAGAGGCTGCATTTCGCGAAATTCACAAATTCGCGACAAATTTATCGGAGCCGAATGATTACGTTCGGGTGTGGTTCGACTCCCCGACTTTGACCAACAGTGCAGCGGGTTTTTCTTTTTGTCCTGCGCGTGACTTGACTCACAAGAATATTTGGTTTCTTGTGAGTTTGGTTGCGCAAAGTAACGGAAGGATAGACATTGCTACGTCGTTTACGATACGCGTATGCACCGTCTACTCTCCGTCGGGCAAAGGAGGCCGTCCTTTGGGCACGAAAGGAATTGAGAAACGCTCGATTCTTTCAATAACAAATAGCGACAACCTCTGTTTCCCTCGCTCACTCGTTGCCGCTCGGGTATTCCTCGAACAAGGTAACGCCCGCACGGGCGAGCTACATGAGCAATGGAATGCAATGAGACGTTTGATCTCCTCTTTACAACGCCAATGGGCACAGGAGTTGGTGAAGAGAGCAGGCGTCACAATTCCGGAGGAGGGCTGTGGTATTAGAGTAATTGAGCAATTTCAACGGTACCTTGCCGGGGAGGGGTTAGCTATAATTGTTTACGCCACGTTTACTTTCGCGAAAGGCGGAAAAACGTTGTACGACAGTGGTGCGTTGCGCGCCTCTCTCGGACGCGAATCCTTGCTACGTTTAAATATTCTTTTGCAAAGGTTCGCGTCACTATTGCCCGATTTTAAATTTAAGAGCGGCGGCGGGAAGCAGAGGATATCGCATTCCTTGCAATCTGCCTTATCGTCCCGAACGAGGAGTTCATCGATACTCGCATAAATGTCTGCGTTGTCGCGGTGTGCCGTCGTGCGAAACAGAAGAAGTAAAATTAATTCGATGCGAGCAATGTAAAAGAATGTTTTACGAACGCGAGTGTTTCGAGCGTCACCGAGCCAAAAAATCGTACGGAGACGGTCGCGTTAACGTGTGCAGCGCCTTGCAATTTTGTGACGATTGCGGGCGTTTGTGCAAAACAACGGGTGCGAGGCACGAATGCGGCGTCGTGTTTTGTAACATTTGCAGTTCGCGTCAAAATGTAAACCATCTTTGTTATATCTGACCTCTTAAACGCGAGGATTTCACCGGCAAAGGGAAAAACGCGCGCGTCGCATTCGTGTTTTACGATTTCGAGACCCGCCAGGATGAGACGCTCAAAGGTACAGCGTCTGTGAAAATTCACGTGCCCACTCTTTGCGTCGCACAGCAGATTTGCGTCGCGTGTGCGGGCGAGGACGACATGACGGTACGTTGCCGGTGGTGCGGTGTGCGCGAATTCGTGTTCCGCGATGATCCGGTGAGGCAATTCGTCGATTTCGTTACGAGAACGACGAAATGTTTCAAGCAGATTATCTGCATCGCGCACAACGCCAAGGCGTTCGACGCGCAGTTCATCCTTCGTTACAACACGGAAAAACGTGTCGATTTGAATCCACGAGTAATATTAAACGGGACGAAGATTGTCGTATTAACGACCAGGCGTACGAAATTGATTGACAGTATCAATTATATGCCGATGCGTTTGTCACCTTTGCCGAAGGCTTTCGGTTTGCGGAGTGGGGTGGAAAAGGGATATTTTCCGCATTTATTTAACACATTCGCGAATCAGTCGTACGTTGGTCCGTTACCAATCGTTGAATATTACTCGCCGGATAGTATGTCTAGCAAAAAAGAACGCGAACGTTTTTTGTCGTGGCACGCGGAACAGATGCGCAAAAAGGCAGATTTTGACTTTCAACGCGAGATAGTGCGTTATTGTCGTAACGACGTTGATATCTTGCTTAACGACGGTGATATCTTGCGGCGAGCGTGCATGGCTTTCCGCAAGATATTTCTAGAGCGCGGAAACGTATGTCCGTTCAAAGAATGCACGACCATCGCTTCCACATATATGCGCGTTTTCCGCAAAAACTTTTTACGTGAAGAAGAGATCGGCGTCACTCCTCGCAGCGGATATTGCCTCGCGGATACGCAATCTCGCAAAGCTCTGCAGTGGCTGGTGTGGAAGGAGCGCGAGCTCGGCCGCATCATTGTTCACGCGGGTCACGGGCGAAAACATCGTCTCGCGGAAGTCGGAGGCATTCCCGTCGACGGGTATTACGAGACGGCAAACGGTGAACGTCACGTGTTGCAATACCACGGCTGCTTTTGGCACGGGTGTCCCGTGTGTTTTAAAACGGAGCGCGACACACATCTCTGCACGGAGGAACGCGAAGTGTACGACACGATGAACTCGNGATACGAGCGTACACTGACAACGTCATGGCGTCTTCGCAAACAAGTGTACATCGTGACGGAGAAATGGGAGTGCGCTTTTGAACGCGATACGCGGGAAAATCGCAAAATGCGAGCGTTTTTAGATCAACATCCGATGCTCGCGGCTGAACCGCTTTTACCGCGTGACGCGTTTTTTAGCGGTCAAACGGGAAACATCACGATTCGGCGCAAAGTTACGGGTACGGAGAAGATACGTTACGTAGACGTGTGTTCTCTATACCTTTACGTGTTGAAAACCGGCGCTTTCCCGATTGGACATCTGAAAATTCTTGTCGGACAAAAAGAGTGCGCCTCGCTAATCGGGGCAATGCCCGGTGTCGATTTTGCCGCGGTCGAGGGGCTTGTGCGTTGTAGAGTGCTCCCTCCGTGCAATCTCTTTCACTCTGTACTCTCGTACCGTGTGCAAGGCAAACTGCTGTTTGTCTTGTGCCGCAGTTGCTGCAAAAATTTATCGCAGACTCAGTGCTCGCACGAAAATTCGCGCGATCGTGAATACGAAAGCGTGTGAGTATCGTGTGAATTCCGCAAAGCCGTGGAGAAGGGTTATCTCGTGACTGCAGTGAGCGAAATATGGCAATACGAGACGAGCCGATACGATTCTGATACGCGTCAGGGGGGATTATTTGCCGAATACATAAACTGTTTTCTCAAATTGAAGCAAGAGGCGAGCAGATCGCCGAGCGAATCCGTGAACGACCAATCTAAAGAACAATATTTTCGAGGATACAAAGCAGTCGAGGGTATCGCTCTAGATAAAGCAAATATTGCCCAAAATCCAAGTTTACGCTCGGTCGCAAAGCTGTGCCTCAATTCGTTTTGAGGAAAATTCGAGTAACGATTGAACTTGACGAGTACCGAAGTGGTAAAGTCGCAGGAACGTCTCGTATCGCTAGTGTCGAGCCCCGAGCACAAAGTAACCGATATATTACCTGTGAATGACGAGGTAATATATGTTTTGTGGCAAATGCGGGACGAGGCGTTTGTACCCTCTCCGATTACCAACGTGATAATAGCGGCGTACACGACGGCACAGGCGCGATTGAAACTGTACGAATATTTAAAACGTTCAGGCGAGCGCGTTATTTATTACGATACAGATTCGTGTATTTATGTGAGCAGCGGAGAACTCGGCAAATACAAACTGTGTACGGGAAACTTCCTGGGCGATATGACGGACGAGCTCAAAAGCTACGGCCGTGGTAGTTACATCGAGTCGTTTGTATTCGGTTGCCCGAAATTTTACGCGTACGTAGTTTGTACTTCGGACGGTGGCGCGCAGGAGGTGTGTAAAATTAAGGGAATAACTCTCAATTCTGCAACCTCCCGCATAAGTAATTTTAATAGCGTTAGGGAAATGTTAATGCGAAAAGAGAGAAAAGAAGAAAATGTGTCGATAAGTCTGCATTGTAGAGCGATTTGTCGCACCGCGTTTCACAAGGTTGTGACGCGGGACAAATCAAAAATCTGCTCGCCGGTTTTGCTGAAGCGTAGATATATCGACGAGCGACGCTCCGTTCCATACTACTTAGAATAAGACTATTTTCCGCGCATTCTCTTGTAAATAATTTGTATATTTTAAACGTATTAGTAAGAGTTAAAATTGTATATATGTTTTCCGTCCAAATAGAAGCAAGCGCTTTGTACAATAAAAGAAAAATATATAAGTTATTTTAACAATTGTGTGTAAAAATAAGGTTATAAAATGCGAGATTTTTTGTACATGTTAGTAGATTAAGCAATATGTACACATTTTGTAAAACGTAATATTTTAGTGTTATGAAATTTTTACTAAAACCACAAGTAAAAGATTGCTTTTTCCCGATCTCTGTTTTTTTTAATCTTTAAAAACTGCCTTTTTGATATAACTTAAACAAAAAATTATAAGCTTATATTGGCGCGCGTTTGACGAGCTTCTTTTTGCGCGCGCGACAATAAGCTGAATGTTCATGAAAACAGCTTTTCAATCATCCGGAATAAGCTCATCGAGTCTGTTGCCACAACGAAAATTAGCTCGTTGTCGCGGCAAAACGCGCTGAACCGCGGCTGCTGCGGGGCCCGACGCGCGATGGTGAGCTAATCGTCGCAAACCAAAAACAGTTTAATTTAAGCGTCTTACGAGCAGCAATTCGCACAGTCTTTGAAATGGACGTACGCTGGAAACATCTCTGAACGTCGATCGTTTGCGGTTCTACGGGATGCGGAAAACCAATTTTTGTAAAGCCTTTCCTCCGTTATTTGCCGAAAATGGCGAATATTCGATTCAAGAGAATTTTATTTTATTACGGCGAGTGGCAAGAAGCCTATCTTGAGTTGCAACGCAAAATGACAACAAAAAAATGTAAAATCAAATTTCGCAAAGGACTACCCCGCCCGGAAGATTACTCGAACGACTCGCTTTGTGCAAAATTAATAATAATCGACGATCTTATGCGAGAATCGTCGTCGTGCGAAGTGATCGTTGATTTGTTTACCAAAAGTAACCATCATAAAAATCTTAGCGTTATACTTATTTTACAGAATCTCTTTCATCAGGAACGCGGTCAACGCGATATTTCGCTGAATGCGAATTACATTGTGGTTTTCACGAACTTGCGCGATCGCGCGCAAATTCGCCATCTCGCGCGCCAAGTCTATCTCGACGACGCAAAGTTTTTGAAAGAAGCGTACTACGACACCACTTCGCGTCCTCACGGTTATTTACTGCTCGATTTGAAACAATCACCACCGGACGAATATCGTTTTCGAAAGTGTATTTTTCCCAAAAATCCGTGTCATTACGTGTACGTACCCCGCAGATCCCTCGCGTGAAAACAGACGTATCAAAACCCGAAGCACACAAATGAAGGGCATCATTTGAAGCTATAATGCCTTCNGTGACGAAGGAGCAAAAGAAGCAATAAAGAACGCATATTAGAGCTAAGCGCTCTCTCGGTGAAAACAACATTTGTCTACTCAAAGCTCTGTGTCTTTTAAATAAAAATCAACGCGCTGCTTTTCTGCGAAACGCTGATAACAAATTCATTGCGTGTATTTGCAAGTGTGTCTACAATACGCTCAGAGATAACGTACCGCTCGAGAAAAGAGAGAAGAACCGCCTAATCCGATACAAAACGGCGCTGGGACGTATCGCGGAACGAAGAGGTGCAAAAGAAACCTGCTGGTGCAACAAGGAGGCTTTTTGCCGTACATCATCGGGCCCATACTCGCAGGTTTATTGTCTCGAATTATCGAGTAAACATGGAACGGTCTAAAAAAATGGTGCTGATTTCCACGGATACTCTCGAAAGAATGCAACAACAAATGGCGGGAAAAAATACCGCTGCTAATACCACACGCACTCCAGGAACCGTGCTCTCGCGTCTCGACGCGGAGATGAGACGTATTCTCGATTCCCCTGTTGATGAAGGTAAAAAATGGAAATTGTACAGCAAAGTACTTTGTCGATATTTATATTTTATCCGAAAAGCGAGAAAGCGTTCTTGCAAAGAAGAAGATCCATCCGTGGCGGAAACAACTGCTGTGACTGGTGGAGAGGGGAAAAAAGAGGAGGACAAGGAAATGAAAGAACTATTTCACGACGCAGAAGAACCAATGGACGCTTTGTTTCAAACATCCTCTGTTCTAGTGAAACATTAGTCAACACCAATTAGGTCACAATAATAATGATACTCAATATCAACGGATTAATCAGTCAACTCCGAAGAAAAATGTATCGTTTGCAGATATTTCATTAAACAACAGCAGCGCAACGAGCTCTCGCGAACGAAAAACTCTAACAACCATAATAGAAACAATTCCAAAAACTTACCGCCCCAAAACGCAAATGCTTTTGAATCATCTGATCAAAACGACTGTTCCCGTCAAAATCACATGGAACAAACGCGGCGTCGTGACCAAGAGTCCAGAATTGGTGGGAGCGAATATTGTGGGACTCGTAAACTATGCGATGGGAGAAAGAAAAACCGATGGAATACTGGGGGCCATTTATTTCGCTCATTTACTTCGCGAAATAAACGCCTCCTCAATACGTGGGAAATCCTAAATAGTTACGCTTTTTGCGAAAAAGAGAAAAAAAAACAAGGCGCAAATCTCCGCATAGTATTGAACAAGAAGAAGAAAAAGAAGCCGAAAAAGAAAGATGTGATTACCGCGCCACCGACAAAAACAAGAAAAAAATACAAATCGGGATTCCGAGANGGCTGCTCACGTGGGACGAAATGTAAACAAAACGCTTGACAAGTTGTATTATAATCCCGCGCATTACGCCGGTTACTCGTCGACGAAAAATTTGTTGCAAGCCGCTAAACCGAATTACTCGCACGAGGACGTTGTTCGCCGGCTTCGTTCGCAAGATGCTTACACGGTACATCGCCCCGTGCGGCGAAAGTTTCCCCGACTGCATTACAACGTGACGAATATTGACGATCTCTGAGAGGCTGATTTGAAAGAATTGCGTAATTTGCAAAGCTATAACAACGGATATTGCTATCTACTGACAGTTATCGACGTGCTCAGCAAATTCGAGTGGGTGGAACTGTTGCGAGACAAAACAAGTGCTCAAGTCCTTCGTGCGTTTCAACGCGTACTCTCGAGAAGTGGCAGACGAAAATCCGTATATCTGCAAACCGACAAAGGTAAAGAATTTATCGCGCATCCGCTGCAAAAATTTCTCAAAAAAGAAGGAATTCGTTTCCGTGTGGCGCGTAATCCAGACGTTAAAGCAGCCGTGATCGAGCGTTTTAATAGAACGCTAAAAGAGCATGTGGCGCTATTTTACGCACAAAAACACGAAACGTTACCTCGATGGCTTGCAGGATATTGTGCACGCGTACAACCATACGCCGCACTTTTCCATACGCATGAAATCCGCGGATGTTACAATAAAAAACGCGAATATTGCGCGCNAAAACGTGGCATCGCTGGAAAAAACAACATGCAAAAGCAGTTAAATACTCCGTCGGCGATCTTGTACGTGTCAGTAGAGCAAAAGCCGCCTTCAAGAAGGGATACGAGGCTAAGTGGAGCAAAGAGATATTTCGAATTCATCGTGTTCTCGAGTAGCGAAATCCGCGCCTTTACGAGCTGAGTGATTTAGCGGATGAGGTTATAGACGGAATTTTCTACGAGCAAGAACTGGCTCCTGTAGGTAAAAACCTACAAGAAGAAACTTTTATCGTTGATCGGGTGATAAAGAGCAAAGGTCGGGGACGTAATAAGCACCTGCTAGTCAGTTGGCAAGGTTATCCGTCTAAATTCGACTCGTGGATTCCGGCTTCGAGTTTAACCACGCTTGCACAAGGTGACGACAGTGATGGCGACAATGATGATGAGAATGGAGGAACACTTTTTCGTAGTTCTCCCGAGCAATAGCAGTATGCCTTTCTTCCCGTACAACACCACTTCGTATTTTACCACGGAATTACCTCGCAGTATAGATTTGCAGGGAAAATATGAAGTTGCTCTCAGCGAGATTCAGTGTTTTTCTAGTTTTTTACATTTACGCAAAGA